GTTACACAGAGAAACCCTGTCTCAGTAAAAAAAGAAAACCTTACAGTATTCTCTCCCCTACTCCCAATGTATAGGGCCTATGCAAGGTATTAGATAATACCCCTCTCCAAAAAAAAAATAGTATACAACCCCAGTAGTGGCTGTACAAACAAGACTTTGTTGGCTGAGGACTAGTGAGGTGGCTCAATGGGCACTGGCCACTAAACCTGACAACTGAACTCAGGTTCAGCACCCCCAGGGTGTACATGGCAGGAGTGAACTGACTCCCAAAAGCTGCCCTCTGACCAACACATGTATACCATGGTATCTCCACCCAAAAATAGTTTTAAAATGTTAAGAATAACCGGACATTGGTGGTGCACACCTTTAATCCCAGCACTTGGGAGGCAGAGGCAGGAGGATCTCTGTGAGTTCGAGACCAGCCTGGTCTACAAGAGCTAGTTCCAGTATGTTGACTTTCTAGGGGTGTTATTTTTATAGCCATTCCCTCCGGGCTGGGAAGGAAATTAAGAGGCCATCTACTTAAGAAAATTTGATGGGACTGGCAAGATGGATCAGTAGTTAAAGAGACTGTAGAGCTCAGCACTCACAGGTGGTTCACAATCACCTGCAACTCCAGCTCCAGGGAATTTTAAACCTGGCCTCCATGAACATCTATGTGTGTGTATGCATATAGGCACACAGACAAACAGGTACTTTTTTTTTTCTCAAGACAGGGTTTCTCTGTGTTGCTTTGGCTATCCTGGAACTTGATCTGTAGACCAGGCTGGATTCGAACATGCAGAGATCCACCTGTCGCAGCCTCCCAAATGCTGGGATTAAAGGCATGCACTACTACTATCAGGCTCAAATACATAAATTTTTAAAAATCCTTTAAAAAAGAAAAATTATTTGAGATAGGCATTGTGGTTCACACCAGTAATTCTACCATTTGAAAGCCAGAGACAGGAAAATTGCTTCAAGTATGAAGCCAGCATGATCTATAAAATGAGTTCTAGGCCACTGGAGGATACATGGTGAGATCTATATTAAAAAGAGAAAAGGGAAGAAGGAAGACAAAGGAAGAAGAGATAGAAGGAAGGTCTATTTGATAGATGAATAACAGACTTTAAGAGAAAGATCTCTCTCAACAGTGAAAAGAAAAAATGTATGGAAGATACACAGAAGTGAACTGATCAACTCAACCCCATGGGGGTGTTCTTCAAGGATCAGCTCAAAGACTTCATGTCTAGTGCTAAACACTGTTAGAGGAGGGAATGTGGCTCAGTGGTAGAGCAGTTGTCTAGTTGTCCTGGCTTTGAATCTCAACACAGGGGAGAATAGTATAGGAGATATTGATAAACTGACAAAGCAAATGGAAGTCACCTTTCCACTTCAGAGTGAAGTTCTTATACAGCAAACAGAAAGTCAGAGTTGCACAGGACAAAGCAATCCAGCCAGTTGTACTTGTGTTATTGCTAGGTGGAAAACATGACATGGTGAGCTATGCCTTCTACACAAGTGCTAGTAAACTACTGGTTTCTTTGTTTTTGATAGTCTTGAAGTGTGAGAGTTATTGACCAAGTCCAGCCTCAAGGAGCTGATGCAAAACTGAAAGCAAAGCAACCTGACTCATAAAACAGGATGATGGGGGATGTCCTTCTGTATATATGTTTCTGTTATTGGTTGATGAATAAAACACTGATTGGCCAGTAGCCAGGCAGGAAGATAAGCAAGGCTACCAGACCAGGAGAAAGCTGGAGAGAGGAAGGCAGAGAAGAGCCGCCAGGGAGAGACGCCATGTAGAGGCAGAAGGAGTAACATGCCAGGGTGTTACCAGGTAAGCCAAGAGCCACGTGGGAATACTTAGATTGATAGAAATGGATTAATAATTAAGAGAGAGCTAGCCAATAAGAACCCCTATCCATTGGCCAAACAGTTTGTAAATTAATATAAGTCTTTGTGTGTTTATTTGGGACTAATCAGTTGCAGGACCAGGTGGAACAGAAACTTTCAACACTTGTGCTTTATGATGTACAGGCAGAAAAGCACAAGTCCATGGGGCCAACCAGAACATCTTAAGTTCACTGCTTACTGACTATGGGGACAGATTCCTTTGTAGTTCTTAAGGCCAAGATTATGAGTCTCTGGGGATTATAATTTGCAAATTTGACCAGGCATGGTATCCCAAATATCTGTATTTGCAGCACTGAGGAGACTGAAGTAAGAGGATCACCATGTGTTCCATGCCAGCCTGAGCTGCATAGTGAAACCCAGGGTAGCCTTGGATAAAGTGAGACCCTGTCTCAATACAAACAAACAAAACAAAAACCCTGCACATTGGATTTTTGGAGGCAGTTTACTAAAAGTCAAATATTCTGTCTTAATCCCTGCTACCATTACCTCATGATTATGTAAATTAAACCACATATTTTGTGGTTCAAAAGGAGAGAGAGAGAGAGGGAGAGAGAGAGAGAGAGAGAGAGAGAGAGAGAGAGAGAGAGAGAGAGAGAGAGAGAGGAGAGATGTGTGGATGTGGGTGTGTACTCATACAGAGACCAGGGGAAGTGATAGAGCGTCCTTTCATTTCTGCTTTATTCCCTTGAGACAGGGTCTTTCATTGAACCTGAGGCCATCCAACAAACCCCAGCAATCCTCCTGTCTCTGCCCCCACCAGTATTCACACAGCCATGTCCAGTTTTTGTTTTTTTTTTTTTTAACGTGGGTGCTGGGATCTAAACTCAGCTTTTCTTGATTGTGCAGCAAGAGCTCTTAAGCCCTGTGTGCAGTAAGTAGCCCCACCTCTCCAGCCCCAGGATACCTTTTTATGAAAGGGATGAAGCACAGGGAACTTTCTTAGCTAATGGAAACTGGCCTATTTGGGAATTTGGTTGTCACATAATTGTGATCAGAAAATCACTTGGGTTTAGTTTAGTGATAGGATCTTTACTCTAGAAGATGATAACATTTGCCAGACACACCTTTAATCCCAGCACTTGTTAACCAGAGGCAGGTGGATCTCTGAGTTCCAAGACTTGGTTCCTGCTCCATTTCTGGGTTTTTCCCCATTTTAAAATGGGTACCTTTCAAAATAGAGAAGTATTACTGGATATTCCATTAATTTCCAGTTTCTAGTGTCAGCGTCCTCTTACAGGCATGTTGATGTCTCTGTAGGAACTCTTCATGGGAGGACATACTGGCCCCAGGTAGGACAGGAATCAAAGAGAATATGTTTCATTTAGTTATTTTATAGAGAAACAGAATTCTAACCAAAATATGATCATTTATAAATGTTCATATATTGAAAATTATTAGTTTATTTTTAAATGGTTGAACTTTGATTCTAGTCTCTAACTCAGGTTATCAGCCTTGGCTACAGTATGTGCCATTACCCAGTATGTTAGTTTTGATCTCAAAGATTCATAAACTTGAACATAGGGAAGCTTGCTTGAAGAATCTTCATATCTCTGTTCCATATATTCTGTAGTAAAGTTTGAACTTAAGTTATTGAACTGGATAAGCAGAATGGTATATGCACTTTAGTTAAAAGATACTAAATATTAGAAAGGAAATCAACTTGTACAGCTAGATTTGGAACACTGAAGAGCAAGGGCTTTTGGGAGCTATTCCTGAAGCTCTCTTCACACCTTGTCCATCTGGGCCTTTGACTGCCTCTCCCTTCTGCAGTCTCCAGCCACTGTACTCCTTAAAGGTCAATCAGTATGGGAAGGAAGTAATGGAAAAGTCACTGTACCAGCCGGGCGTTGGTGGTGCACTCCTTTAATCCCAGCACTTGGGAGACAGGCAGGCAGATCTCTGTGAGTTCGAAGCCAGCCTGGTCTCCAGAGCGAGTGCAGGATAGGCTCCAAAGCTACACAGAGAAACCCAAAAAAAAAAAAAAAAAAAAAAAAAAAAAAAAAAAAAAAAAAAGTCACTGTACTAGTCTCTGTCAAGTTTCATCTCTTGTTGTGCTACGGATGGGAAGGAAACAGGGCTCTTCCACTGATCTATCTGCATTCCTAGCCCCAACATTCAGTTTCATTGAAATAGGAAGAAAAGAATACTGTTGTTTTGTTGTTGTTGTGTTTTATTTTCTCAATATTAGGCATTTAATAAAAAGAGAGAGAATAAGAATCACAAGTGGACTGAAAGGAGTATATTAGGCAGCACACCCAGGGCCTTATATGTGCTAAACAAGTACTTCACCACTGCAGTACACCCCTAGGGTGTAAGAACATTGTCCTCCTCCAGCCTCAGCTAACTGCTTTGACATGTAGGAGTTTAAGCTTTCAAGTCTAAGCGGTTGTATTTTCTTCTATTCCTTTCAGTGACACTCACCCATATGAAAGGATAGTGTGTGAGGTTTGTAGTTCTTTACCCAAGCTAAAACTTTTATTGAATAAAACACAAAGTTTTGGCTCAAAATGATTTAACCTTAGTCCCTGATTTGTTTAATCACTTACCTCTCATTGCCCCTGTCCACACTATCTTCTGGGTACACCACAGTTATCTTAATTCAGTACCGTTCAACAGCATCTCCCCAGTCTAGCCTCTGCCTGTCTTCCCACTGCAGCAAAATGTTCCAAGAATAGAAAATGATCTCATTACCCTGGGTGTGACTTATACAAACAAACATTGTAATGACAATCGGATGCTTTTATCTCAGTATCAACATATGTATTGCTAGCATTTTCAGGGGACCAATCTGTGAGTGTGGCTCAGATGATTTTCGTAGAATTACATTGAAAAGCTGACATGCTGTCTTACATAGATTTGCTTCTGATCAGAAGTATACATAAGAATATGAATTAATTCATGCTTTCAACCCACAAAGGGAGCTTTGTTACTTAAAGAAATGCTGTATAAAGACTAGCAAAGGGGGCAGCAGGACTTTTACAGGCCAGGGGATGTACAGGTCAGTCATTTGTGCTAATAGTTGAGCATAGACAGATTTTCAGCACATTTTGGCACATTGATTCTGGACTGCTTCTAATATCCACCTCTTGCTTTTAAAATGATAGATCGAGCGTTTGGAAGTAAGCAGCCTCGCCCAGACTTCCAGTGCCGTGGCCTCTAGCACTGATGGCAGCATCCACACCGAGTCTGTGGATGGAATACCAGACCCTCAGCGCACAAAAGCTGCCATTGCACACCTGCAGCAGAAGATCCTAAAGCTCACAGAACAGATCAAGATTGCACAAACAGCCCGAGACGACAACGTTGCTGAATACTTGAAGCTTGCCAACAGTGCAGACAAGCAGCAGGCTGCTCGCATCAAACAGGTGTTTGAGAAGAAAAACCAGAAATCTGCACAGACCATCCTCCAGCTGCAGAAGAAGCTTGAGCATTACCACCGCAAGCTCCGTGAGGTGGAACAGAACGGAATCCCCCGGCAGCCCAAGGATGTTTTCAGGGACATGCACCAGGGTCTGAAGGATGTGGGCGCAAAAGTGACTGGCTTCAGTGAAGGTGTGGTGGACAGCGTCAAAGGTGGATTTTCCAGCTTCTCCCAGGCTACCCATTCAGCAGCAGGGGCTGTGGTCTCCAAGCCCAGAGAGATTGCCTCACTGATTCGGAACAAATTTGGCAGTGCAGACAACATCCCTAACCTGAAGGACTCATTAGAGGAAGGACAAGTGGATGATGGGGGAAAGGCTTTAGGGGTGATTTCGAACTTTCAGTCAAGTCCAAAATATGGTAGTGAGGAAGATTGTTCTAGTGCCACTTCAGGCTCAGTAGGTGCCAACAGTACCACTGGGGGCATTGCTGTAGGAGCATCAAGTTCCAAAACAAACACCCTAGACATGCAGAGCTCAGGGTTTGATGCACTACTGCATGAGATCCAAGAGATCCGGGAAACCCAGGCCAGACTGGAAGAATCCTTCGAGACCCTCAAGGAACATTATCAGAGGGACTACTCCTTAATAATGCAGACCTTACAGGAAGAGCGGTATAGGTAAGTTATATAATATTTAAAATCTAAATTATTTGTTCCCTTCTCTTTGAATATGGAGAAGTGAATTTAAAAGATGTCTGTCTCTAGAGTGTCCAGTGTTCAGATCTGTCTGTAACAGCCACAGGAGTTCTGCATCAGTCATTACTGATAGGAGTTAAATGACTCCTAAGATCACACACAGAGCTGGGTGGTGGTGGTGCACGCCTTTAATCCCAGCACTCGGGAGGCAGAAGCAGAGGGATCTCTGTGAGTTCTAGGCCAGCCTGGTCTCCAGTGCAAGTGCTAGGATAGGCTCCAAAGCTACACAGAGAAACCCTGTCTCAAAAAAACAAAAAAACCACACACAGATGGAACATTCTTAACTCCTCGGGTATTCTATTCCAGTTTATGGCTTTAACATGCAGCTGGGGAGGGGGGGGACTGGAGAGATGGCTCAGAGGTTAAGAGCACTGGCTGTTCTTCCAGAGGTCCTGAGTTCAATTCCCAGCACTCACGGTAGCTCACAACCGTCTGTAATAAGATGTGATGCTCTCTTCTGGTGTGCAGGCATACATGGAGGCAGAATGTTGTATACATAATAAATAAATAAATCTTTAAAAAAAAATGCAGCTCATGCTATCTGGGATAGTTCTTCAATCCACTGAGATCATGATGCATAATCATGGAAGCCTTCACTGTACTGCATTGGATTCAAAACATCTTAATCCTGAGAACTTTGTAAATAGCTAAAGATAAAGCCCAGCCAAAATGTAGTGACCCTTGTGGGTATTTGACTTTAAACATACTTATGTGAGCAATAGGTGTAGAAAAACTGGAAATAAATCCAGATAAATGTGTCTGTGACATTTATTAAGAACTGGGACATTTGGATGAGAGTAGACATAGCATTAAGTCATTCTGATGCAGTTAGAGAGTACTCAAAGAGCTCAGTGCTCTTCATTCAGAATCTGCACCAAAGTTCAGAGTGGGTCATTCATTCTTGCTGTAGGTATGGAACCCGGAACCTTACCCATGACCACCCACACCCTGTACTGAGTCTGGTTTTTCACTTTGCATCATAGATTTCTTTTGGACCACTTTTATCCAGTCTTCAAATTTGTGTCCTGTCTTCCGTGTAGAAAAATGATAACCTCCCAATAATAATTACTCAGATCCAAACTTGTGGGCCAAAGACTGGCAGCCTCATGTAGATCAAGAAACAATCTGTGTGAGGCTGCATCTCTGCACATAAAGCCTTGCAATTCTTGATCTTGTTCCAGATCCTAACTAGAAGAAGTTTCCAGTACTTTACTAGACATCTGGGTTTGAACAAATAAATTTCCTTTCACCTCTTAAAAGTAAAAGTGATGTTTTAAAACTTTACTTTTATGAGGTGACTTTGTGTCCAAAATAACCACTTAGCTCTAAAGACAACAGCAACAAGCTTGCTTCCAATGGTGAAAATGCTAAGCAGCCATCCAATCTGCTTCCTTTTGTTAATCTTCTTCAGTTCTCATTGACACTTTGAGAGCCAAGGGATGTGGCTCAGTTGGTAGAGAGCTTTCTATCATAAGTGTTGAATAAATTGGTAATGGTAGACATCTGTAATTCCAGCATTTGTCAGGTAGAAGCAAAAAGATCAAAAGCTCAACAATCAAAAGCACTTGCTGCTCTTCAGGGGACCCAAGTTCAGTTCCCAATACCCACATCATGTGACTGACAACTGCCTGTATCTCCAGCTCCTGAGTTTATGATACACACCTTTGGCTCCCGTTGACTGACATGAACAAACATGTAGCAGACACACATATAACACATAAATAAAACTACAAATAAGGCCAGGCGTTGGTGGTGCACGCCTTTAATCCCACCACTCTAGAGGCAGAGATAGGTGGATCTCTGTGAGTTCGAGGCCAGCCTGGTCTACAGAGCAAGCTCCAGGACAGGCTGCAAAACAATACAGAGAAACCCTGTCTCAAAAAAAAAAAACTACAAATAAGTTTCTTTTTTTAAAAGCTAGGTCATCTGTGGGCTGACTTTTCTGTCCTGCCAACCCTCTCCCAAATAACCACACAGAGACTTATTATTAATTATAAATGTTCAGCTGATAGCTAACTAGCTCTTTCAACTTAAAGTAACCCATACTTTTTACCTATGCTCTACCACATAGTGGTACCTTTTTTCAGCACAACATGTTCATCTCCTGCTTCCTCTGCATCTCACTGGCGAGTCTGCCCTTCTTCCTCGTATCTCTCAGGCTAGCTCTCCCGCCTAAGCTCTTCCTGCCCAGCTATTGGCTACCATTAAGCTACACCTCAAACCATATTTTTATTTCTACTTTGTTGCAGGCTTTGATTTTATAGGAAAAAAAGAGGTGATAGGTGAACTATATGACCAAAAATTACTTAACTTGGACATGGCTGCTCAAGTGTCTTGTCTTTTGTGTTTTTGTGCTTTATCTTACAGCAGGGCAGTAACCAGTGTTGTACTTTGTTGTATGATAGTGATGATGATGATGATGATGATGATGATGATGATGATGTACAGGTGATAAAATTACCACTTTTAGAATTTGCTGAACCATTGTGATGCACATTAACTAACCTTACAGCAACCTACAGGTGGCCTGTGTTATCCCCATTTTATAGTTAAGGAAATTGAAGTCATTGGGGGTGGGGGGGTGGGTTGGTTGGTTGGTTTTTGAGACAGGGTTTCTCTGTGTAGCCCTGGCTATCCTGGAACTCACTCTGTAGACCAGATTGACCTCAAACTCAGAGAGCCACCTGCCTCTGCCTCCCAAGTGCTGGAATTAAAGTTACAAACTATCACCACCCAGCCTGTATGTTTTGTTTTGTTTTTAATTTGCTGAAGGTCAACAACAAAGCCAGAACTTTACCTCACTTCAGATCCAGTATTATTTTATAATAACACAGGTTGTTTTTCAAGCTCAACCCTAAAATCTATGTGATGGAAAGGCTGTTATAATTTTGAGAGGCACTCATGTCTGCAATAGAGGTGCTAGCAGGCTTTTCCCAGATCAGAGTATGTGTCTATTTACTAAAGTCTGAGTTGCTGTTTTGAGTATATTATATAAACTGTGAAATTAAAATCTAATACAATAGTGTAGGTAAGTAGTAAAATCTGGTAACCCAGCAGCCATTTTCCCCCTTCCAGAGCCTTTCTCAGTGGTGCTTTCTTAATGTGCTACTGCTATGTTCTACACCGGTGAACTTGTGGAGAGGGTCTGCTTAGCTCTGCAATAATCAGATGTTCTGATTCCTCTGTCCTCACCCACCTACTTGTGTCTGACAGTCTGGGCAGCCATGGTGGAAAAGCTTTCATCTAAGGCTCCACTTCATCCTTTAAAAGGATCTAGATGTGAGTCATTGAGCTCTGCACTGGGCTTCCCCCCTCCCCAACTCCTTTCTACTGGCTTTTTATTATTAAACTATCTTTTTTTATTTCTATGTGCATTGGTGTTTTGCTTTCGTATCTGTCTGTGTGTGGGAGGGCAGCAGATCCTCTGAAACTGGAGTTACAGATATATGGGTGCTGGAAAAGAACCCAGGTCCTTTGGAAGAGCAGCCAATGTTCTAATAGCTGATTCATCTCTCCAGCCCCTCCATAGGGCTTTTAGTTATAAGTGAGGTCCTTGTATGGGGGATAAGGGGATGAGGTTTAATAGGTCTTAAGTGATAGGATCCCTGTGGACCTCAGATTTTCTTGTCCCGCTTGCTTTGTCACCTCTCTAAAGTGTTAGCGTAGGTTTGCTAAGTATGCATAGGTTTGCTAGTGGCTCCTGGGTTCAAAGCACTACTCAAAGGAGAGAACTAAAGTATGTAGTTGAACCTGATTACAAATGCATACACTGAGGCCAGAAAAGATGTGACTTTACCATGTCACCCAGCAAAATCATTTCCTATGCATTTATTTACCAAATGCAGCTGAGAGGACTAAGCTTGTTCCCAGGGTGGGTATGCTGGTTAGCAGACTGGTGGAGAGTAGGCTCAGCTGTGGCAAAATGCATTGGCAGTATGGAGGCTGGAAAGCTCTCCTAGGAACTCCTGGGTGCTTTTTGTTGTTGTTAGGAATTCTGTGTTTGCTGCTCATGTGAGCAGTGCTATGTAAAGTGGGCAGGAGCCTTCCTAGTGTTGATGGACAGCAATGTAATTTCAAAAGCTTCTATTTTGAGGAGATTGCTTTGGAATCAGCTTCTGAGAGTATTTGTATTAAGCACAGAGATATTTTAGATCACACTGAGTCACAATAGCAAAGTTAGAGAAAGGAAAGTATCACATGCAGTAGAACACTGAGTAACTTGGCTGACTCAGTCAGGCCAGGCTGTGCTAACTATGTAACGGGTTGTTTAAACATGGTTTTCCTGTTGTTGGATATGCTTAGATTTAGTTGTTTTAAGCCCCTTTTGACTGTTAATCAACTAAAAATTGATCCGAATCTCTTGAGAATATGTAAGCTGTGATTAAACAATAACTTTGAAATAGAAGCCAAGACAATTGGGATCAAGTTAGCCTTTTTCGTATAGTGGTGGGGGATTCAGAGATATTCTTGTGAAAGGTGATGCCTGCTGTGCAAAGAGATTCACATATGTGTTCTTCCCAGCTTAGCACCTGAAGAGTATACGAGGAGCATGGGAGGAGAAAAGAAATTAGTTACCTATTAATTAATTCATCAGACCTGGACAAGCTTGCCAGATCTGCTCTGATACTTGTTAGTTGTCTGACCCTGAGTAGATCATGGAACTCATCTGAGCCTCTCTGCCTGTGAAAACAAGGTGGTGGTTATTGAAAAGGATTTAACAGTTATTAAATGAGACGAGGGAAAGAAGAGGGTGAGCAGGAGAGAAGAAGACACCATGTACATGGACATACCTTTTTAGGGTGCTTGGTTTAGAGTAGGAACCCAATGTTAAGGGAGAGAACACATGCTTAGCATATTCAAGGTCCTGAAATCAGTTACCATCAACACCACACATACACAAGCACACACATCACCATGCTAAG